TTTCTCTAAAATGATATAGTAATTCCACCAGCTGTAGAATATTTGGTGAGGATCACAGGAGTTAATACTGACAGGCTGCATAGACAAATGGACAACGGCCAGACCATATATAAAAAACAACTGACTCACAGCCTGAAACCTCCAGTCCAGGAAGGCAAATGGTAACCCCCGGAGCAATGGGCCCCGAATGGCCAAGGCTTGATCAAGAACTGCCAGCTTCCTGAGTTTTTTGCCTCTACTTCCAGTTTAGGGCCAATCCCCGAAAGCCAAATATGCTCCCCTCACCAATCACGGAGGTGATATTCATCCCTCTCTAGTTACCCAGCCTCCAGCCTCCCCAGCCAACAGCCTCCAATCAAAACACACCCAAGGACTTCCCTGGTGGTGCAGTGGTTGAGAATCCGCCTGCCAATGCAGGGGACACGGGTTCGAACCCTGGTTGGGGAGGATCCCACATGCCGCGGAGCAACTAAGCCCGTGCGCCACAACCACTGAGCCTGTGCTCTAGAGCCCGCGAGCCACAACTACTGAGTCTGCCTGCCACAACTACTGAGCCCGTGTGTCTAGAGCCCATGCTCCACAACAAGAGAAGCCACCGCAATGAGAAGCCTGCACACCGCAACAAAGAGTAGCCCCCGCGCGCCACAACTAGAGAAAGCCCGCGTGCAGCAACGAAGACCCAACGCAGCCAAAAACAAATAAATAAATATATTAAAAAAACAAAACAAAACCCATATCCGCACCTTCCCTCTGGTCCTCTCTGAAGCCCTCCCACTCCTGGCCTGTGAGTCTGCCAAATGCGAGTGTTGCATCTGACTCCCTCGCTAGACCAAGCGCTGAATAAACAGCCCTGGCTGGTTCTCTGCTGGGTGGTTTTTGTGGATTTCCATAATCCATATAACTACTCTGTAATAGGCAGTCAGAAATGCCAGCTTTGGGTCACTCAGAGAGTCTGGGTGTGGGCTGTATGAAGCCTGTACCAAGCGGAGGGAGGGGGCACGGCTTCCTCTTGAGGAAGGAAGAACTGGGCTCAGGCATCTTCCTTGCGTTTGAAAGTAAGGGTGTGGCCTTCAGAGTGCTGTGGCCTCAGCTCCTGTCTCCATGGTGATGTCACTCCCAGCTCAAGGCCACAACGACATCCAAACAATGTTTTGTGTGTTTTTAAGAGAGACACAACATCCAAACAACCATTTGAACAGACACGGGTTTGGGTTTACATTTCTTTTGTTAGTTCTAAAAGTAACACATGCTTGTAGGAAAACACAGAAAAGGGAAGAGAAAAATCCCGCTGGCTCCCCTAACCAAAGGCTACCACGGTTACATTTTTCCCCCTTGACGGTTTACAAGGCTGAGATCGTACCATATGTACATTTTTTTTCATTTGACATAAATCCAGGAGTGTTTCCCATGTTATTTATTACGAATTCCTTGTAAACAGCAATTCAGAAACTATAAAATATTCTATCATGTGAATGTGCTATTGGTCCTAAAAAATTATACAATAAAAAGTATCCCAGGGAGGCAGCACCTGCAGGGCAGCCAGGCCTCTCGTCCCACCGCAGGCCCCCGCGAGAGCGCTGCCCTGGCCCCCCAGCTATTCCCAACGTGCTCTTCCCGTGAAACTCCCCCTCCCTTGGGGCTGCCAGTCATGGCCAGTGTCAGCAAGAAGATGGCCAAATCAGCACTTTCTGTGGAGACAAAAGAGCTGGGTGAGAGGTCTATGGGGACAGCCCCCTTCCCCAGTCCTCCCTGCTCCCCCCCATCCCCAGGCCTGATGCCCAGGGCATCGTGCCCAGTTCCACCCTCCACAGAAAACCCCAATCCAAGCTTGAACAAAGTAGAAGCAGATCTTCTCTCCCGTAGAACAAGCCTGGCAGTAGCAAGGGCAGAACCTCTCAGGTGAGTTGCCCCTTTGCAGCTCCGCCCACCGTTCAGGTGAGGGGAAGCTAGGACTCTGTGGTGTTCCCTGCTGCTCTGAATAACTGGGGCAGGGGAGGGCTGTCAGTGAGGGAGGGGGGCCAGTGGGGGCTGGGGTGGGAGGAGGGTAGGAGAGGGGTGACTGAACCTGCCAGGTGGCACAGGTGAGCTCAGGTGCGTCACAGCAGCGTCTGGGTAAATCCCTGTCTCTCTTTAGACCTCAGTTTCCCCACCTGTACAAGGAGGGGCCAGTACTAAATGGTGGTTTTGTTTCCAACAAGGAAGCTTCTTAGTCCATCCCTGATGGGCTAGTGTCCTGGGAACTTTATCCAGTTTCCTGGTTCCAGAAGCCTCAGGTATTGAAGAAGGGAGAGGTGCCCACAGGGCCCAGGTGCCATTTGATCTGGGTCCACCCCCCTTCCCGGCCCTGCCCCAGTTCGGGGCAAATCACACTTTCTGCTACACCCCACTTACCCCCTGTCTGTTCTGAGCTCTCTCTCCTAACCTAGAACCTGGGTGTACAGACCAGGTGGGCTTCAGGGATCTGTGAACTGCCTGAAGCTGTCTGCAAAACTCCGTGTGTGTGTGTGTGTGTGTGTGTGTGTGCGCGCGCGCGTACACGTGTGCACATACATGTGTGCATGCGTGTATGTGTGTAAGCGTATTTCATGTGTCTGGGGAGAGTCCCCAAGGATTTCAGAGTTTCCAAGGCATGTGTGGCCCTAAAAACTTAGAAGAACCCTTGGCCTGGGCCTCTCCCTTTGTTTTCTGTGCTGTCTCTCCTCCCCAACAGAATTCCAGACCCCCAGCTCTAGCCTGGAGCCTCCCAGCCTCCCAGCTGGTCTCTTAGGGCTTCAGCCTGCTCCCACGGGCTGCCAGCAGAACTTTCCTTTTTTTTTTGTAATCATTTTTTTTTTTTTGGGCCACACCGCAAGGCATGTGGAACTTCCCTGACCAGGGATCGAACCCACGCCCCTGTAGTGGAAGTGCGGAATCTTAACCGCTGGACCACCAGGGAAGCCCCAGAACTTTCTGAGTAGTTTCTGATTGAGTCCTATCTGCTTTCTGTCATCAGGACCCCCCTGGCCTTTGTAGCCATCCTGGGCTCCCTTCCTACTCCAGACTAATTCCCAGGCAGAATCTTCAGAGGAGGGTAACCTGCAAAATCCCTGCCCCTTTACTCTGTGTTTCCTCCTCTCCATGAGAGAAGTCCCTGTTAGAACTCATTGCCCACAGGAGAAAATCCAAACTCCTAACAGGCACTCAAGCTCTTTTCTAACCTAGCCATTTGAAACAAAGTTCACATTTCGTGAATGCAGCCACTATTTGTTCTTAGCACCTCACCTAGATTAACGTATTCAACCTTGATAACAGCCCTAGGAGGTGTGTCACTAGCTCCATTTTATAGATGGGGGAAACTGAGGCTCAGAGAGGATTGCCCATGAGCTGGTAGGTGATGGAGCTGGATTCTTACCACTGCACCCTGCCTAAGGTCTTATGTCTCAGTGTCAAGACCGTCCATCCCAGCCACATGGAACAATTCACTCCATGTTTCCTGAGCTCAGCCCTCTGCACTCCCTTCCCACCCTGTTGCCACCTCCTCCAGAAGCCTGCTCTCCACTGGGCTCACTCTGCACCCTCCTCCTACCTTGGTCTCCAGGTCTGGCTCCCCTGACCAGCGGAGACCTCCTCAGGGCTGGTCCAGGGCCCACCCTCCATCATCAATACCAGGACCCATTTGCTGAACTGAAGTGAAGCTCTATTTCCAGTTTATCAGCGGGGAAACTCAGCTCAAGAGGTGAAGAGGACCTCCCTGGTGGTCCAGCGGGTAAGACTCGGCGCTTCCACTGCAGGGGGCACGGGTTCCATCCCTGGTCGGGGATCTAAGATCCTGCATGCCACGCAGCGCGGCCAAAAATTAAAAAAAAAAGAGGTTCATTCATTTCTCAGAGATTATGGATACCAGTGGAGGCATGGTTGGTAGCAACTTAGCAAAATTCATCCATTCAACAAGTGTCATTGAATGTCGACCCTTGGCCAGGCAGTGCACTTATTCACAGGGCATATAAATAAGACTGGGCCTGGTGCCTGCCCTCCCCAGTCTCACTGTACAGACCACACCTCCCCCGACACACCCACATTCCCATATGCGAGGGAGATGGAGGTGAATTTGAGATGGGCTTTGAAGGGGAAATAGGATTTGTCAAACCGAGATAGTGGCGAGGAAGCAGCAAGGGCAAAGGAACTGAGGTTAGCTCATCAAGGGGAAAAGGGGGAACAAAACCACAGAGGCCAACCACAGCCAGGTACCTTGGGTGTTGGGATTCAGTTACTTCTCACCCCTGGACTGCCACTTAGCCTCTGCCCTTGACCTACCTGGGAGGGGGTGGAGGGTAGGGGATGTGGGGTAGGCGGGTAGCTATCCCAATCCTCTGATATTGTAGGAGTCAGCTCCTGCCGGGGGAGGATGGTGCAGGGTTCAATCTGTATCCTGGGTACCACTTTTTCCAAACTAGTGTTGGGAGAAAATCACCAAGACATCCGTGCCATTTGTCCCCACCCGTTTTGGCCTCAAGACAGCTCAGTAAGACCTGGAGTTCGCACGTCAGCTACCCTGTCTCCTCCTCATCCCTTCCTGTCCAGTTCAAACGTCACCTCCCCCGTGAAGCCTTCCGGGGAAACTCCAGGAACCTCCCCAACCTTCTCCGCAGCTTCCCGAGTTTCCATCTCTCGCAGTGCTCTGGGACATCATTGTGAGCAGAGCAAGGCTGAAGGATGCTCTTCCGCCAAACACGACTGAAGCACCAATAGGTGCCCAGAGCTGAGGTGGGGGCTGGCGCGCCTCGGACGCCCCACGATTGACTGCCGCTGGAAGCGGTGGACAAGAGTCTACTCCGTTTTCCGCCCGCCCGCCCCCTTGCGGCGCGGCGCCGCAGCCTGAGAAACGCGAGGCCGCGCGAGCGCGCGCCGGACCCCCGCCGCGCCAGGCCCCGCCCTCCCGCGCCCGCCCTAGCGCCGGCCCCTTTTGTTCCCTCCTGGAGCCCGGCCGCTCGCTCCGCTCCCCCTCGGCTCCGCTCCGCTCCGCTCGGCCACCGGGAGCGCAGGCGGCGGCCGGGGCTGCCAGGGTCAGCGCCTCCCGCCTTTCCGCCGCCGCCCGGCCGGCCGCACACGCGGCGCGAGGCCCGGGCCCGGAGCGCGAACGCGGAGCCCCGGGCGCCAGGAGGGGCTGCAGCCGGTGGGCAGTGGCGCGCGGGGAGGGGCCGCAGCATCCTCTGTCCCCGCGGCGCCCGGGCCGGGAGAGGAGGGGGCCGGGTGCCCGGCCACCCGCCGCTCAACCTGATGCTGGAAGGGCGAAGGTAGGAGCAGCCGGAGGGACCCCGAGGGAGGGGGCTCGATGGGCAACAAAGGACCGAGGGACGCGGGAGGCCGCGGTAGCCCCGGCCTGGTCCGAAGCGGGGCGGGCGGCCCGCAGGCATTTTCGGGGCGTGGGAGAGGTCTAAGGGTCGGGGGCTGGCGGGTGGGTGTGAGCGGGAGCTGGTCCTGGGTGCACCCCCAACTTCCCCGTCGCCTGCAGGCGAGGAGGGGGCGCTGCTGGTGTTGGCGGACCCTTCCCGGGCTGCGGGTCCTCTCGGTGAAGGCATCACCGGCACCCTCGGTGCCCCCAACAGGGCTTCGGCACATATACTGGGGAGCCGCCCGTTCCTCCTCCCAAGGGCAGCGCCGGGCGGCTGGACGCGCCGCGGGGCTCTGGGCTCACAGGCCCGGCGGAGGGGGGTGGGGTGAGCCTGGTGGGCGCGGCTACGCAGCCCCAGGATCTGGGAGGACACGGAGCCCCCGCTCCGCTGGCCGGGGTCGCCTGGCCAATGCCCTTTGCACAACTTGGTTGAAGTGCGTGGCGGAGGGGGTTAGGGGGATACTGGGGTGGGGCGGCTTTCCTCAGGGGTGCCCCCCCTCCAAGCTGGCGCTCATGGCTGGTGAGGCAGCACATTTTCTGCCCTCCCCACAGGGAGGGGCCGTGGCCGCGCGGAGGATGGTTCGCTGGGTCTCCAGGGCCCGCCCGTTTGGGTCCTTCAGGCAGGGCCTGGGCGGGGCGGGTGCCCACTGGGCACTGCCATGCAAGTCCCAGCCCCACCCTGGATCGGAGGGGGCACCTTGTGGGGAGTCACACACCCAGCTGCGAATCCCCCAACCTCTGAGATGCCGCCTCTCCCTTCTGGGTGAGAAGTGGGAGTCCGATATTGGGGGGGGGGCTGCCCTCCCTGCTGTAAGATGCCCAGGGAGGCTAGTGGGGGTGGTGCTGGCTTAGGGTTGTGGGCAGAGGAGGGGGAGGGTGCAGGGAGTACCACGTGGGGCAAGACTCCCAACCAGTTGTAATGTAAACAATGAGCCCTTCATTCATCCAGCTGCTGTCACCTGGCCCCGCACTGCCAGGGGCTGACAGGTTCACGGGACTGGGGCCTCGCTGCTCCCACGGAGCACAGCCCAGCAGCCTTCGATGAGTGCAGTGATGGGGGAGCTGGGAGCACAGAGGAGGGACACCTGGAGGGTGGGGTGGAGCAGGGAGCTTGATAGAGCTCACTGTGGAAGTTTGCTGTCAGGATGCCAAAGGGGGCTTGAGGGAGGGCAAAGAGCTTTGGCAGGGATACGAGTCAGAAGAGGAGGCAGGAGGCCTGGTGGCTGGTGGCTGAGAGGAGCAGCAAAGGATTTGGGTGACTGGGGCATGAGGTTTAAGGCAAGGGAGGTTCTGTTGAGGGAAGGGGTTGTTCTGTCCCTCCTACTTTCCCAGGTGGGGCTCCTTAGACGCCCTTCTCCATAAGCCCCCGATGCATTGGCATCTGCAGTGCCTGGCCTGGGAGGGGTGTTGGGATACAGGCTCTGGGACAGGTGGCGGGGGATGGGACGGAGAGGAGTTTCAAATGCAGAAGAGTCTGGCAGAGGAGACCTGGGGGGAGCCTCAGCACACAGGACTGTGTACCCGTAAGCCCCCAGGTGCAGCCAGCAGGCTGGGAAGGAGGTGCCTGGAATTTGTGTCCAGAGCCTGAAATCCCAAGGAGTGCCACCCACAGAGGCACTAATCCCTTTTCAGTATCTGCTGTCCACTCTGGCGATTAAGAGTTTGGATGCTGGAGCCTGACAGCCTGGGTTCAAAGCCCAGCCCTGCCACTTACTAGCTGTGTGACCTCAGACAAGTCACTATACCTCTCTCTGCCTCAATTTCCTCTTCTATAAAATGAGGATACTTAAGGTATCTACCTTTTAGGGTTGTTGAGAGAATTGAATGGATGGATGTGTGCAAAGTGTGTACTGTGATGGAGAGAATGCCCAGTGTTTGTTGTCGCCGCTGTACTAGGTGGCCCTCCAGCCTCCATCCACACCCACGAGTGGCCCATCCCCTCCCCAGCTGTTTGTCCACTGTCAGGTAGTCCTGCCTTTAGCCCTTCCCAAGGCCCTGCTGTTCTCTGCTTCAATGCAGCCTCCTCCCTGGGCTGTTCTCTCTGCTCTGGTCCAGCCTCCCTTGGTGATGGGAAGGCCGCCACCCCCACAGCCCTGGCCATCCTTGCTCCTTCTGCTCTGGTCCACGATGTGGGGGACAGTTTTCTCTTGACCTTTTCTCCCTGGCCTTGCCACCCTAAAGATTGATCCTGCCCTCTTGATGCCACCTACCCTACCTCTGCTTCAACACCCAGAGGAGAGAAGCTGTGTTCTTCACCCTTCCTGGTTCCCTGCTATCTTAGCCTGAGCTGTCCTAACAAAATACTAGGACTGGGTGGCTTATCAACAACACATTTATTTCTCACAGCTCTGGAGGCTGGAAGTCTGAGAGCAGCGTGCCAGCATGGTTGAGTGAGGACCCTCTTCCGAGTCGCATTTATTTTTGTATCCTCACGTGGTGGAAGGGGCTTGGGAGCTCTCTGGGGCTCTCTTTTACAAGGGCACTAATCCCATTCATGAGGGATGCACCCTCATGACCTAATCACCCCCCAAAGGCCCCACCTCCTAATACTGTCTCCCTGCGGGGGTAGGATTTCAACCTATGAAGTGGGGTTGAGGGGGGACACATTCAGACCAAAGCACCTGCCCAGTGGTCCTTGGGGAGAATGTCAGCCTTCGTATAGGTTAAAAAAACCAACCAAACCCAATGCATATTGAATGCTTACTCTGCCAGGAACTGTTTGAAGCTCTGAGTGCCTGTATTGGTTTGTGGATATCTTGATACCATTGCCTCCATTTTACGGATGAGGAAATCAAGATGTGGAGAGGTTTCCCTGTTTGCTCTCCACACATTTGTTAAACACCTACTGTGTGCTTGGGAGACCTGCTTCCTTCCCCCACCCCACCCACCCACCTACCTCGTCCATTTTCCGAAAGGGAGGTTTTGGCGGTGCCTTCCTCAAACACCTCCACCTCATTGGCTCAAGTACAAAGTCCAGACACTCTCTGGCTCTCAGGGCCCACCCCCAGCTGGCTGTGCCCTGCCTTCCCAGCAAGGCTCTACCCAGACAGGCCTCACCTTTTATAAACTGACCAGTGACCCTGGCTTGATGGGCAGGCCTGGCCCTGAGCTGGAAGAGTGGGGAGGGCCCTGACACATGTCTTAGGATTATTTTGTCGTGGGGAACAGGAACCACCTCCAATTAGGTTAAGTGAAAGGGGAGTTGAGAGGAAAGGAACTTTGCAGGAAACAGTTGCAGGCAGCCTGGCTCGGCCTGGCTCCCCCAGGACCCAGGAAGCTGGCAGGCAGCCCCTCCTCCGACTTTGCTCTCTCTAGACTGGTTTCATTTTCTCATCCTCTCCCAGTGCCTCTGTCCCTTCTCCTCTCCCTGTAGGCTGCTCTCTCTGGATTGCCGGCATGGCCGCCCTGAATGGTAGCTTGGCTTGAGGCCCCAGGACCACCGAGGGCACTCCCCTCAGTCTCTGGGTGCCTGAGAGCCGGATGGGCCCAGCCTGGGTGAGGGCGTCCACCCCATCCCCTCCGCTGGTCGGGGCAGGCCATGTGGTCTCTGGGGCTGGGAGTGGAAGACAGTGCTGGGCACAGCTGGTACAGTGTCAGCTGCAGTTATGACGTGGGTGTGTGCTGGGGGAGAACGGGTGAGTGGTGGCCTCGCTGTCCCTGGCAGCCCACCGCAGGCCTCCCGCCCCCCCGCCCCGCCCCAGGCTCAGGGGCAGAGGATGTGCTCTCCCTTCAGCGCCTGGGAACTGGTGTGGGGGGGTGGCGATTGCTGGCAGGAGGCCCCCCTGTCCCACCACTCCTTCCTCTGGGCTGTGCTGCCAGGCGCACAGAAACAGTAACACAGAACTCAAGTTTTCAGAGGAAACGCTTCAAAATGATAATGAAACATTACCCCTCTGAATAGAAAGTAGAGCATGTTACGTGGTTTTTATTAACACGGCATAAATTTGGGGCCTTGTGCACTTACCGGCTTCCGTCTTCCCGGAGCAGCCTCTGGCTCCATCCCTGGAACCTACCTTTGACTCCAGCTGCAGCCCAGAGAGACAGACGCCCACTCCTCATTCACTTCCATCTGTGCCTTTGTCACCCTGAGAGGGGGGAATTTGAGGCTTACAACGAGGGCCTGGTTTTCTAATCTCTCCTCCCTAAGGGGGTGACCTTGTGGTGTCCAGGGCTGATCTGCTCCTGCTTGCACCCATCTCCTCCCCGGGGTGCCCCAGTCCTGCCCTCCAACCTGCAGCATCGAGGGTGATGGCTGGGGGGTAGCCAGCCCTCGCTGTCGGGGGGAGCACAGTACACCTTAGTTTTGGACCCTGCCTTTGAGAAGCTTTTGCTGAATTAGGAAGACATCAGCCCCCTTCCTGAAAGTGTAAGCGACATCAGCATCTTTGAGGAACATTTTAAGGCCAGAGCAGAAGAGCCTCCCTGCCCAGTGGGGTCACTGTCCCGGGAGTGGTTCAAGTCCCAGCGAGGGTTGCTCGGTCAGGGCACGGGGTGTGTGGGAAGGCTGAGGAGACTGTCTGGGGGAAAAGGACTGGGCTGTGTCCCGAAGGGCGGGTGGACTTGGGTAGGTAGGGAGTGCCTTCCATATGAGCACAGGGAGAGAAAAGTGAAGGAGAAGTTTGGGCAGCAGGGTGTCGAGTGTCCGGCGGCGGGGGTTCAGCGTGGAGCCCACCATTCTTCCAAGTCCACTGTGAAGTCGGGCATCTGGTTGTCGGACCCTGCGATGAAGGAGGGAATGACATTTGGTGGTCTCCGATTTATTTTTTTTTGCTACCTCATACCCTGATCCCGCTCCTGCCGTTCCCTTTTCTGCCGTAGACTGTTCCCTGCTTAACTTCATCTGCTTGTAAGTTCGCTCCGTCAGCTCACATTCAGCTTCTTTCCTGTTCAGCGGGGCTCTGG